GCAGTGACGGTGGCGGCAGCTGGCTTGCCGCTGGCGCTGGCACATTCGCCGCAGGCACTGGGGCTGGTGCAGCCACCACCTGTGCTGCCGCCTTGCCCTTTCTCGCCTTCGTCTTGCCTCCTCCTTTCCCGTCGCCGGCTTAGCCGGAGCCGGTTCAGCCGGTACCGGATTTGCCAGAGCCGGCTTTTCAGGGGGGAGGGGCAACTGGCAGCCCCGCCCGAGGGCTGGCTAGACGGCCCCGGCCTGGATGCGGCAGCCGTGGCCGCCGCGTACGAGACCGTTGCCGGCCTCGTTGCCGTCTTGTTTGCCCCCAGGGGGGCGCAGGACGATGCCCTCCAGCACGGAGAACCGGTGCTGGAAGGCAGCCAGCTCCTGCCGGACCAGGTTCAGAACCTGGTTCTCCACCGGCACGGGCCGGCTTGGGCACTGCGTCTGGGGCGCCGCGCGAGAGGCAGGCTCACGTAGACTGGCCAGGTCTGCGCGGGAGCTTCTCGTTCTCCTTCTGGAGAGTCTCCATGGCGGACGTCAGGCGGGCCACGTCCGCCCGCAGCTTTGCCACCTCGTCCGCATTAGGCCCGGCGCCAGCAAAGTTGGCCTCCTTTGATAAATCATGTACAACATTTACTCTCTAAAGTGGTCTTTCATACACCGCCTTTTCAAAATATCTAATTTTAGGGTGCTGCTACCACTAATACAAAAATCGTATTGGGGTGGCAACACCCTAAAATTTAGGGCAACACTCTCAATACAGACTAAAACTATTTCACATGTAATATTAACTTCGTTTTGAAATTGTATTTTGATTTTGTAAATAATTTTGTAAATGTGTTGAAACCACATTTAAAAAATTATTTCACCTCATAATATTATGCGTTTACTTTTTCAATATCCTTTGTCCATAGTGTCGCTTATATTCCATATCGCCTTCACGAGAACGCTGTAGATAAATATAACTCATGAATGTTTTAACACCGTGCCTATGGTACGTTGAATACATTTTCAAGCAGAAGTTCGCAAGTGTTACAATGGCCGTAAAACACCCACAACCATCAGTGTGCCCCACTGAAAAGTTTCTATGTCGGGTATAACGATATGCTTCCCGCAATGTTCTCGCGCAATATTAGGCGCCAGTTAAAGGAAACGGCTGGGTCGTTATTTTTACGTGAAAGGGGAGGCAAAAATGGACCACTTAAATGCGAAAGGTTTTCGTTAGTACGTTGGATATAACGTATATGAATGAAAGATTTACATAACTTTATATTAAGTTGCTTTTAATCTTTTATTACAATATATAGATGAATTCATTGACTAAATATATCATATCTTTTATGCGAAATTTAATCAAATCAAATAAAATTAATAAATCAAATCACAAACGACCTTCAGTGCACCTGATAATAAGTGGCCATTTCAACCCATAACACATTTCAACCAACTTGGTATAACAAAGTAGTCTACAGATGCGTTTTTACCACTGAGAAGATGAAATTCTCTACAGTATGTTATTTTACTGACTCTCTGTACCCTTCAGATTTGAATACAGCAGCGTAAGCACTGCTATTTGGCGGCAAGGATATGTTTGACGGTGGTAACCACCTAGACTATCCCATGGGCAAAAAAGCAACCCTGGTAGGATCAAGTTAAATAGGTATTCGTCTACAATATACAGTATGTAACAAAAACCCTGTTGGTCGTTTCAGGGACTTATAGGTGTACACATAGGCATGGTAATTATGATAATGAAATTTTTTTGGTTGCTTTAAATGGGGTTTTTAGGTTTCTAATAAGATAACTTAAGAAATATTAAATTTCTAAAAATGATATTTGCTTCTGAACTTACCGACACGTGCCGACATAGTATTATCTACGTCACAGAATAAACAATAGTCTACGGCCGATATGAGGTCACTGACATGGCCGACTCAAAGCAAGCCGCTAAGCGGCGCGTGCTTCCCCAAGGTTTTTGTGAATGTTTTTATACCTATCTAGACTCAGTTATTCTCAGAAAATTTTAATTTCAAAATAATAGAAATTATAATGAAATGGTTATTATTTCAACCCCAATACACATAGTATTTTTTTTATAGTATAAGGAGACAAAAGAGCACACAGTCCACCTGATGGTAAGTGGTTGATGTGGCCCAAAGACATCTACATCTATCCTCGATAACGTATCAAAATGCAGATGCGTTGTCACCCGTGAGGACTAAGATGGAATGTCTCATTTCCAGTAAAAAGGTTCTCCGATTCTCTACACTCACCATACGAAATACAGCAGCATTAAGCAACCATTTCACGCTGGTATTCTGTGAGAGCGTGGTCCTTCCCCGGTCGAGCCGACCCATTCGTGCTACAACTATACATTTAGTATCATTATGTATATTATAAGTATCATTTGAATACTTATGTTATAAATTTCCACTTTTTTGCTAAATAGATCTACGAAAATATTTAAAAAGGTTATTTCATGCATAAAATATCGTGATTAATTCCAAATTTGCAACTATTTGTAGGAGAAATTTAGTATGTATTTTTCATATGAAATATTCGATAAAGAATTTATGTAGTAGGTACAATTATTTTTTTAAATAAATTCATATTGTCGTTTATTGCTAGAATATAATAAACAAAACAAAATTAATAGGTAATATACGTGGCGTTTTGCGCGCTCTTTGAACTCAAAAGCGAAAGCCGACGAAGGTCTTAGGTACTAGGAAAAACCAAAAAAATTCCACTCTTCGAGTGATAAAAAGAAGCGTCCACTATATGTCGATTAACTAATTTTGATCCAATATCTATTATTTATTCTGTGCTAATATTTAGTAGTAATATTTAAAACATGGGAAGTTTTATGAACATAAAATTTTGTCACAATTCAGTGATCAAGAATAAAAATAAAAACAAGGGTTGTTTATCGTCGGTGGATAAACATATAAGCCGGTGCCACAAATGTGTGAGAGGTGGACATATTGAACAACATCTATTATTTATCTAGATGTTGTTCAATATGTGTTTAAAGTCGTCGCATCTATTATTTATTCTGTGCTAATATTTAGTAGTAATATTTAAAAACATGGGAAGTTTTATAAATATAATATTTTGTCACAATTCAGTGGTCAAGAATAGAAATATAAATAAGTATTGTTAATCGTCCGTCGAAAAAAATGCTTATTATTAGATTTTGAAAACCATAGCAGCATAATAGTTTAAGTATTTGTTATTTTGTGGATTTATAACACAATTTTTTAAATGTTTCTTGTTATAAAAGTGTTTTAATGTATTTTTATTAATCCTAGCTATAATTTAATTTCTTAATAATACTTACGGACGCTGTCTGAAATAAATAAATAAATAATAACTACTATAAAAAATAACATAAAAAATCACGAATTTTTTATCGATTTAGAAAATATCTAAATTATGTTATAGAGTACAATAGCTTTGCCACGTCTATGCAAACAAACAAGCATCAAGCACCAGTAGCGCGTTAGCACTGATATTGACGGTTGTGTTTTATATTGCGAAATTAATATTCCGCCGTGAGTGACTTGTGTGCGATGTCTTACTCAAACGAAGAATATTTTAATATGTTAATGTGTCTCGGGAAATGTAACTGCAATTATGCAGCAGCACGAAGAATTTACGGGGAGTGCTTTGCTACTCCACGAAATTGCCGTCGGCAATAATGTTCCAACGACTTCACATTCATATGTACAATACTGGCAGTGTGGCCGTACATGGCCGTGATCAACAACGTACAAATTCAGGAAGACGGAGGATGTACGTCGACGACATCGAGGAGCACATTCTCGACATGTTTGAGGAAGATGCGACGCGGAGCACGCGCTCGGTGGCACGTGAACTAGGTGTGAACCATATGCGCGTTTGGAGAGCCCTCAAAGATGATGGCCAGCACCCATCATTATCGTCGATTTCAGTGTCTTCTTCCTAACGACTACGAGCCGAGAATGGATTATTGTAGATGGTTACTTGATAAGGTTGAAGGAGATTCTGAGTTTTTGAACCGCGTACTTTTTACGGATGAATGCTCTTTTGTAAGAACAGGTGTATTTAATGCTCATATTGAACACGTATGGTCAACGACAAATCCGCATTCGTATAAACGAAGCCACTTTCAACACCGATGAAAATCAATGTGTGGGCGGGAATTATAGGTGACAAAATTATTGGTGCGTATTTCCTAGACCACACAATTAGCGGTGAAAACAACGGACGTTTTTTGCGAGAAGAACTGAGCAATGAACTTGAAGAAATAAATTTAGACCTCGTTCGTCGCATGTGGTTTCAACACGATGGTGCTCCACCGCATTTCTCCCGTTGTGTAAGAAGTTTTTTGGATACTGAGTTCGGTGAAAGATGGATTGGCCGCGGTGGACCGGTCAACTGGCCGGCACGATCACCTGATCATTTTTGTTGATGAGTGAGTTGATGACCTTTAGATTTTTATCTCTGGGGTACGATTAAGCAGACTGTATTCCAAAAAACATGCGATACCGAGGCAGAAATGCGTATGCGTATAGTCGCAGTCTTTGAAAAAATAAAGTCCGAAATGTCTTTTATGCAACGCGTGCGTTCAGAGAAATGTATAGAGGTACAAGGTGGACATATTGAACAACATCTTCGTGGTCGTCAAGTAGACATAGTTATAAATTAGTGTTTGAATATAACAGTTGTGATGTGACGAGGTCACGACCTCAGTGTGCAGTTAGTGTAGGTAAGACGCGCGCGCGCACGCCCCCTCTTTGATGTATGTCACCGCCGGCCGCCACCCACCGCTGTAGATAATTCCAGGCAGAGGTAATCAATCCACATAAAATTTATAAATATTATTTAATTAAAATTTAATTTGATTATTTTTATGTCGAGTATTCTGAAGTAAAGTTATTTCTATAAGTTTAAATACTGACTTTGATAACGCACTTAACGGGAACCACAGGGTTTTTGTTACATATTGTATAAATTAATATTTATTTTACAACATGATGTTAGTAGTTTCAAGTAAGTAGTTCTTGTATAGCGGCGGTTAAGAATACTCACTATCCCATATCTTCCCGTGGGTGACATAAGATGCTATAGAGGGAAATTTAGGCACAAAATGGGCAGTAGCATTTCTCTGATAACAGCAAAAAGCAAAATAAAAAACTACGGTGCCAACCCGCTCGCCAAGCGTGACAAATACGGCAGTATACCCCTCATGAGCAACGACACAAATAATCGGCTCCCGGTCCCCGATATCCCCGCTATTCCAAGATAGGGTTCCAACCATGGGCAGGGGGTGCTAAGAATCTCTGGTTGATGTTCAGCTGCCACCTTAGACGATTCGACCTGGCAACGTATAACACAAACACCCTGAGGACTAACGAGAAGATCCTGGAGCTGGAAGAAAAGATAGACAGGTTGTGCTGGAATATTATAGGATTACATGAGGTCCAAAGAGTGGAGGAGGATACGGTTATCCTCTAATGCGGTAACTTGTTCTATCACCTAGAGGGCGTCCATCTGTCCCAAGGAAGTGTCGGATTTATGGTCCACGAGTCCCTCGTTAACAAAATTGTTAAGATTAGGAGTATGTCGACGAGAGTTGCGTACCTTATACTCAAAATCACCAAACTTGGTGCGTAAGCTTGTAAGACGTTCAGCGAATACCAACGTCATACAGGCTTACGCACCATCCTCGGTACATCCCGATGTGGAGGTGGTGGAAATGTATGAAGATATCTCTAGAGCCACGCATTCCTCCAAAACCACTATACTATGTTAATAGGAGACTTCAACGTAAAACTAGGCACAAGAGAAAATGGGGAGCTAGAAGTAGGGGAAATTCGAAATAAGGTAACGAAAGTCAGGGGGTCAGCAACCAGCCGAATTTATGGAGAAAGACAGACTCTTTATGATGATCTCTTTCTTCAAAAAGCGGCAAAAAATAAATCAGATCAAGCCCCAATGGTTCGACAATAAATTGAAAAAAATCTTTATTGCAACAAAAACGAATTTATACATATCAATGCGATCCTAGCTCCTATAAAAGGTTAACCTGAGTAACAGGAGCTAGTTCCTTCCTAAATTTAACAAGCTTTTGTAGAATAAAAACACAAAAAAAATATACAAAAAGTACATATAGATCTACGTGTTTCTAAGCCTACGTAAGTGTGCGCCGTGTATTTGTGTGTGTGTGTGTGTGTGTGTGTGTGTGTGTGTGTGTGTGAACAAAAAAAAAACATTTATGAGTTTCAATATTCTATTTGATATAATTTTGATATGTGGAAACCAATTCTGATTTTCATCGACAGTGATCCCAACGTATTTCATTGTTTTGGACCTGTTGAGTTTTGGGCAATAGCAAGGGGTCTGTGATTGTCTATTGCATTTATAAATTATAATATTGGATTTGTTTTTGTTTTCTATAATGTGGTTAATGTAATTTAATATGATAATGAATTTATTTATAATATTGTTAAATAATTCTATTTATTTTTAATAATTTATTTATTCAATGATGTAGTTCAAATTTTTTTTCTTACAATCCTTTCTTTTACTAAATAATCAATGCATGTTGTGATCACCTATAAAAAGTAATACAATTATAATGTGCTTAATATGTTATGAAATTGATCTTTGTATTACTGTTGTAATTTCTGTTGGTAATCCTAATAAATAAATAAATAAATAAATAAATTTATTCAAATGTATTTGTAATCCAAGATAGTTCAAAGAACTTGAAACACTAGTCTTACTAAAACAGAGGTATGTGGTTTTAGAAGCGTTCAGAGAGAGAAGACTACTTCGAGCCAACTTTCCACTTCACATAACCCTTTTTCAGCCAAACGTTTGGTTTTTTTCCCATGTATTATCATAGAATAGAATTACTGTATCATCGGCATATGTATGCTCCTTCAAGATCTAGGTCAGCTAACTGGTTTATATATACTAAGAATAGGGTTGGCCCGAGTATACTGCCCTGTGGGACACCATATGAGCAAGGACGGTGTTGACTGATATATTTATAAACTCTGCCACACTGAATTCTACCAGCTAAGTAAGTTCTAAACTGTGACAGAAACTTCTCTTTTTTTAAAAACCACCCACATTTTGTAATCGAGTCAACAAAATTGGTATTGAGACGTTATTAAAAACTTTCCGCAAGTAATACATTTATCACATTAAATCTACATGTTGAGTAACGTTTTTTGTACGTTTAAGAAGAGAATCTTCAGTAGATTTGTTAGATCTGAATTCGGATAGATTTTTTGAAATATAGCTATTTGTCTCTAAGTAGTTTGTTAATCTTTTATTTTAAAAATGAGATTGACTTCAATATGACGGCCAGACCAAAACTGTTAAGTGATGTCTGAGTGATCGCAACGGTAAAAACTGACAGCGATCTCCGAATGGTGAGAGACACACAAAACCTTAGCGAGAAGTTAGAGAGGTCACGTCTAATGAAGTCAACGCCACACCCCCTGCCTCGTGCTCTAAAATTTTTCCCGAATATTTTCAGTTCGAGTTACTAAATCGTTTTCAGTACCTAGAAGACTGCAGTGAAGTGGACCGAAGTGGTATGAATGATAAGCTTATGAAAACTGCCCATGCGATTGGAGCTGAATTTCGTAAGTTCTCCAGTCACACTTTTAATCTCATAGCTGTAAGAGATATGATGACAATGATGATGATGATTATGATGATGATGATGATGAAAATAATAATGGTTATGATGATAACGGTAATGATGATGATGATATCGATGATGATGATGACGATAATGATGAATACGATGACGATGACGATGACGTCGTCGATTACGATGACGATGGTTATGATGATGACAATAACGATGATGGTGATTATGATGACGATGACGATGACGATGATGATGATAATGACTATAACGATGATAGTAAAGATGATGACAATAACGTCGACGACGATGACTATGACAATAACGAAGATGAAGATGACGATGATAATAATGACGATGATGATAATTACGATGATAACAATAACGATGACGACGACGATGACGATGACGATGATGGTGATTATGATGATAATTACGATGACGATGACGATGAAGATGATGATGACAATAACTACAACGATAAAGATTATGATGACGTTGAGGACGATGACGATGATGATGACAATGACGATGACTATTATGATGTTGATGACTATAATGATGATGATACTGACGATGGCGTCAATGACGACGATGATGATGATGACTATGATGAAGACGATGATGATGACGATGATGTCGACGATGTTAATGACGTTTACGATAAGGATAATGATGACGATAACAGTGACGGTGACGATTACGATGATGATGGCAATGATGATGATTATGATGATGATAATATCGAAGATGGTGATAATGATGTCGATGACGTTGACGATGATGATGAAAATAACGATGATGATGATGATGACGATGATAATAATGACGATGATGATAATTACGATGATAACAATAACGATGACGATGACGATGACGATGACGATGATGATTAGGACGATATCGATGACGATGACGATGACGATGACGATGACGATCGACGATTACGATTACGATGACTAACGATAACGATGATGATGACGATGACGATGTTAACGATGACGACGATAATGATGATGATGATGACAATAACGATAACGATGAAGATGATAATGAGAATGTAGATTATGATGATGATGATGATGATGACGATGATAATGACGATGACGATGCTGATGATGATAATGACGATATAGATTATGATTATGATGATGATGATGAACATGATGAAGATGATGATGATGACGACGGTGATGACAATGATAATGACGATAACGATGATGAGCCACGATGACGATAAGCAATGACGACGACGATGACGATGATGATGACATAACGACGACGAAGATAATGATAATGATGATGATGATGTTGTTGATGACGATGAAGATAAAGATGACGATGACGATGACGATGACAATGACGATGACGATTACGATGATGATGACAATGATGATGATTATGATGATGACAATATCGAAGATGGTGATAATGATGACGATGTCGATGATGATGATGACAATTACGAAGATGATGATGATGATGACGATGATGATAATAATATCGATTATGACGATGACGTGATTATGATGATGACGATGACGTTGATAATGACGATACCGATTATGATGACGATGACGATGACGATGACAATGACGACGACGATGATAATAATGATGACAATAACGATGACGATAATAATGAGAGAGGATGGTACAATAACGATGATGATGATGATGACGATTACAATGATGATGACAAATTTATGACGATGCCGATTATGATGACGATGACGATAAAGATGTCGATGACAATGACGATGACGATGACGATGATCGATGACGATGACGATAATGATGACGACGATATCGATGACGATGACAATGACGACGATGACGATAAAGATGACGATGACAATAACGATGATGATGATATGACGATGGTGACAATAACGACCGATAATGATGATGATGACGATGACGGTGACGATGATGATGACGACAATGACGATGCAGATTGATGAGCGATGACGATAATGATGATGATGATGACGATGATGGTGAGACGTTGATGATGACGATGACAATGACGACGACGACGATACGATGATGATGACGATGACGATGACGATGATGATGATGACAATAACGGACGATGATGATGATGATGACGATGACGATGACGATGATGACGACGATGACGATGATGACGACGATGACGATTAACTTGATGACGATGATGACGATACGATGGTGAGACTGATGATGACGATGATGCTAACAATGACGACGACGACTACGACGATATCGATGATGATGACAATGATGATGATGATGATGATGATGATAATGATGACGATTATGATGAAGATGATGACGATGACGATGATGATGATGATAATATCGATTATGACGATTCCGATCA